GGGAATCGAAAATGTTTCCACACATTTTAGCGTTTGAAGACACTAACAAATTAGCGAGTCTTCATAAAAAAAGTGGTACAACAATAGCACATATTTTCTCGCAATATTTCTAAATTTACAGCATTCGGAAGTTCAGATAAATCAACGGAAGTGAGACCTTCACCATTCTTTTACGCATTCCTTCTTTGTCGTAGAAAAAAATTTATGAACGAAACTGGAGCCCTTTTTTTGAGAAGAAATATAAATTGTATTAATTTCAAGTAGAAATTTTGCACAAATGACTGGTCTTTAAATGTATACATGACCTTTTTTTAAAGATCTGATTTTTAGAGCAAATTTTGTTTGAGGCAAAAATCTCTATTTTCAACTTGACTTAACTCACCTGGTTTGGATATGTTAATATTTTCCAATTTTCGAAAATATATAACGATTCCCAAAAATGACACCAGTACCACTCTGTTAACTGCTTTTAAAAAACGAAAGCAATTTTAGAAAAAATTAAAATTGCCTTTATTCCACACAAAATTAAGCAAAAACTTCTAATATTTTCAAAAAGGAGTTCAAGATCTGTCTATAGAGATTTTATTAAGAAAATAAATCTTTATTTTCAATATTGTAGTTGCAGGAAGACGCCGAAAAAAAAAACTTTTGCAAGTTTCGAAAAATCAACTATTTCAACGAAAATGAGATCTATATCATTCTCTTCAGCGTTTTTACACTATACGTGGTTTGAGTTTAATTCAAAAATGTGGAGTAATTTTTGAGAAAATTTTGAAAATGATATTGAGACTTCATGTAAAGATCTCTTGAAAACAAACAAACGAACAATAAGCAAGCAAGCAATAAGCAAGCAAGCAATAAGCAAGCAAGCAATAAGCAAGCAAGCAATAGGCAAGCAAGCAAACTGATATATTGGCTGTTCGGGTGACGCCGCGTTGAAAACTGAGTTGCCAATGAAGGCTGGGCAACCCAACCTAGCGGCGTCACCCAGACAGAAAATATCTCGACTCTGACCGCGGAAGCCTACGACTTCAAATTAAACAACTGTGTTCTTCTAAACCTCTATTAACGATCTAGCCGAAAACTGACATCGCTGCTATGTGCACCATCCCTTATTTAGGGTTACCATCACTTTATTAACCACTTATTCCCCCATCCGCCGTATCATCGCCAATTCCATTACTAACACTACACTATTTGCCAATTTGTAATTTGTTGTATATTCAGGCCAAAGGAAACAACAGTTCGTTATACCAAGTCACTTTATTCCACATTCCATATCATACACAGATATTCGAAGCCAGATCACCGTTTACCAGATATCCCTTTACCATGCGCTAATCACAATCACCAGAAGAATAACCATACTACCTCTTAACCGCTTGACAATACTAGACACGTACTCGTTCACACGCTGCACTAGCTCGGGATTGACTGTCTTAATTGTAATTATGTAATTTTAAGAGATCTGTACTTAATCAGAATGGATTTACTTATGTCTACTCGTTTCCACCTTTGCCTCTTTTACTTTCCTCCAAATGCCACAAACAAAGTTTCTGTAAAATCAGTAAAATAAAATAAAAATATTTTTTACCACGACTATCTACATCCATCCAGCTGAAACACAGGCACCATTTAATTACACCGTCACCAGAGCCACCACCGACACAGTCGCCCCCACCAAAGCCACCAGCTCCGCCTCCACTGCGCGGCGCCGCGCGCAGTGCCACCCGACCAATTTAAGTTCTCAAATTTAAACTGCCCCCTCGGGGCCCCGGCGTTTAGCGCGTCGGCGGAGTGCGGCGAGGGCACCCGACGCGGCCGCGCCGCCGCCGCCGCCGCCTCCGCGTCGCCCTGGCCCCACACCCTCGCCTGTCCCCGGCCTCAAACCCTCCCACTCGCTTCTAGCCATCCCGCCCCTTCACCCACGCCGCCATACTGCCATTCGACTACAGATGAGGCGTCAACAGATCATCGTTGGTCAAAAGTAAAGTCCTGAACAACCGATGTTTTGAAGCATACATGTTATTAAAAGTGGTTTAAATACCTCCCATGTTAATTTCCCCGAGAGGGAAGAAAGGTCTAATATGATAAAGACGTGTTTATTCATTTGTAATTGAGGTTTAACTGACAAAAATAAGTTAATAACAAAAACAATAAACGAAATTTATTACCAGATTGGGAGTAAAATAATAGACTGCTACATTTATCGACGAAATCTTGACTATTTATTTTTCAACCTTGGTCGCGATGTCTGAAAGTATGTTCGTTTTAATGATATGTGAAAATTATTTTTAAGTTTTCTGTCATTAATATTAATTATCACACAAAATAAATCATAGAAAATCTAAAAAAAAAAATCCATATTAAAAATATCAACTTCTATAAATTGATGTTAAATTCATCGACGTTTTGAAAGTATTGACATCGATGTCGCATGCCTATGTTCGAACAATGACGACCCCGACACTGCTACAAACTGTGCTCTCGCAGGAGAAGTACCGCTGGTTCGCAGAAAACAGACCCAGACGCCCTAAAAAACGTATTTTACATTTATATTTTGACCGCAAAAGTCGAGCTTAAGAATGTGAGAATAAAAACATTTTTTCAATCTTATTTAGAATCTTTATCGACATTTTAATAATTTCCACATTCATTATCAGAGTTATTCAGAGTTTAAATTGTATACTTTCAGGTTTGTTCAACTGCGTTGAAGATCTATTTATTGCGTGCTTTAGAGTAAATTAATCAATTGAAAGGAAAGTTTGGTATAACTTGCACTTCACAAAGTAGTGGTCTGAAAACATCACAGAACGCAGAAGAGTAGGAAGTAAAAGCCTTCCTTCCACGTTGGGATTCGAACTCAGGGTCTTAGACTTAGGTGGCAACCCCTATGCCACAAGACTCAAAGTTAAACTCAAGCTCCCCGGTGATTATCAGCAAAGTTGAAAATATCCATACTGAATTGTCAAAAATCAACGGCTTTATTTAGGAATTAATTCAAGACAATGTCAGATGTCATTCAGAAATAAATACTTATATTCAATAGTTGTAGGAAGACGTAGAAAAATGTTTACCTTTTGTGGTTTTGGAAAATACAGGTAGTACAATGAAAATGGAATCTGCGTCATTTTTATAAGCGGACTTTTTTAGCAAAAAACATTGGCTCCGTTTTTGAGAAAATATTATTTTTAAATTGCGATTATTTAAGTTAAAAAATATAAGAAGAATGTATATTTTCAAAAAATTATACATGGCCTTAATTAAAGATCTAATTTTGAAGAATGGATTTAATCAGGAAACAATTACTATCGCTAATATTATAATTCTGCAACGTTCATTTTCTTCATTTACGAAAATAAAGGCATATCACCGAACAGAGGACCTGCGCCATTAAGCGCACTTTTCCCTGTAAGATAAAAAAATGAAAAACGTTGGATACGTTTCTCATAAAATCTTTCAAAATTACCAGTGTGTCACGAAAAATAGTACATAAACTACATATAACGCACAAATCAATAATTTTTTTTTAATTGTACGTAATCTAAGTTCAAGATCAATCTTCCAACAACAGATTACATTAAAGAAAAAACAATATCCATCTTCAATATATTAGTTGCAGGGAGACGCCGAAAACATTTTGAATCTATGCCAGTTTCGAAAATTCAGAGAGCTGAACGAAAATGAGACCTGATCCATTTCATAAGCATACTTGTTGATCAGAGACAGACCCTAACCAATTTTCCGGTATCTCGGTATCACAAAGCATGAATTCTACCTATACAATTGATTGATTGATTGATTAGCCATTCCGGTCACGTCAACTAACAGGGTCATTAGTCCCGTAAGTGTAGTATATGTTTGGTCGGGAGGTAAGGGTGATCTTTCCCCCGCTGTATGGCGAGATCCGGCGCCGACATACCGTCGGCTAGCGGGGATTTCCCCAACTAGGTATCCCCCTCCAACGAGGCACCGCCCCAGCCGGGACAAGCTCTTAGCTCCTGACGGATCTCTCGGCATGTGGGGGTAGTGTAATGCGCGTTAGTGTGTGTATATGTAAGAAGAGACGATAGGACAAGAAAAAAGGAAGGTGAGATCGCCCGCAGTCCGAGGCCCGTTTCTCGTTTGTTAGGGTACTGCTCCGGCATTCGCTTGATGTTGATCGGAAAAAACAAAACTACCGATCAGAGCAGCCGGCCCGTAGAATTCTCATCCAGGCCGGTGAATTCGACCTCGCAAACAAGCTAGTGTCGAAAATCCTGTCATAGTTGGGACTCGAGCCTAGGACCTCCCGATCAGAGGGACTGCGGTGACATCAACTTATGCTCTGATCCATCTCTTCCGGTCTATCTACACAACGTGTTGGAGAAAGATTAGCTATATATAGAAAAAAGATTTATGCACAATCTCGCTTTCAGGACCACACAATAGGAGTTATTCTGACAAAAAATTGCCACTTTCCGCTACAGCAGTACAATGCTTTATCTTTACTAGGTAAGTATGTAGTAGGCGAGGACGTATACCTGCACACTAGAGTCATATTTTTCAGATATTTGTACATTACTATGTTTCTGGTTCTACACATACGAATATCACGAAATTATTCCCAAAAATTAAATTATTTACTTCCAGATGTGATAAATATTGTTGAATAATTGAATTTAATAGTGTTGAATTTATAATACGTCGCAAAGTGTATCATCACCATTATTTGAGAATAAATTTAAATATGTTTTCCTTAAATGTTCGTCATATAAGATAGATACTTACATTCCAACTTACAAGAAATTGTCTCTCAATAAATTACGTTACCTTACACTACGTTTTTCGAGCGAGTAGCAAAGTAATACTAATAAAAGTCATTGCCCAGCCCGTGAATATATTTTTGCTGGCGAAGACATATCAACAGGAATTATCGTAATATCCTTTCTCCTCGGAACAATTTTGCTTGTAGGAAAGCGTTTTCTTAAAGAGCCTGAAGTTCTCCCAATTTCCTTCACACCTTTCAAAACTCCTTCGCTATTTTCCCAAGTCTGAACTCTCACTTCTTCCTTGCCACTTCCGTCCTCCCTCTCCACGCTCTCTTCAAATAGGGAGTTTTTACAGTCAGAAGGCTGGTAGCACTGCGCGGAGTGCCGACGCCGGCGCCGCCGGCGCAGCCGAGCCTCCTCCTGGTGGTCCTGGACCGAGCTGATATTGTGCGGCATACAGTGCGTCGCATCATGAAAACACACCAAAGAGATTTCAATGCAATCGAGTTCAAATGAAGAAAAATATCAATTATTCCCAAACAAGTCTATCCCTACCTCTGCAGTAGTCACATCTCATTACGTAACGCAAATGCTCGTTCGGGATATACGTGTATCCTAAAATAAAATTAGAATTTTTTGTCATTACGAGTTTTGCAAACATTTTTTGAACCAGTACTCTTCTTATCAAAAAATATATTATATTAATTTATATGAAAATATCAGTCATGAAACTTCAAAATGTCGTAACCCGTAAGAACGAAATTTTACAGGAGAGTCGAAAACCTGGTTAAGCCTTCAGAGTTTAAAGTAAGATTTTGGATATTTAAACTTACTATATATCGCTATTTTCTCACTTATCATTATAATGAATAGTATTTGATAGTTTTTAATTATTTTTAGCAATGTGGCATACAAGATTATGGCTGAATATTACAAAGTATTGGTATAGAGCTACAACTTATTTTTTTATAAAATATAGCAGTTTTTATAAAATGAGGCAGCAAAATATTATTTTTGGAATATGACATTAAAATTAACATTTTTGAAATATGACAAGAATGAGTACTCGCTGGCAATGAATATATTGATGTCAAAATCTCAATTTCATAGACTATGTGGGTTACAACATTATATAGTTTTTTATGAGCTATATAGTATATTAATTTATACCTTATATATTTGAATACAATGTAAAAGTCATTAGACTAATGAATGGCATCGAAATATACCAATGTTGTCTCCCTGATGAAGAATGAGGAATGGCGAGCGTACAAACATACGAAATATTTTATTATCTGTTGATAATGCATCGTGATCCGTTCAGCAGTCGTATATCATTATGAGAATTGTATATTGTTTTTCGGATCTTCTTCATAGAAACGTTACTTTCTACGACCCATAACAGAAGAGCTCGCACGGGCTACAATTGTCCATCCGAATTCAAACCATTTGACAACAATATGCTTGTAATGAAAAGCTTGGAAAGAAACTGAATGGTAAGAGTGACATGTTACCTAAATCTACTAATACACTACACTAAAATGAGAAGAGGTTGCGCGCCCACGAAAATAAAATAGATGGGCTTCGTCAGAAGCACGCGGGAGTACTAGAAGACCAATTCTATTACAATAATGTGCAGAATTAGTTTTCAATTTAAGTGGGATAATCACCTAAATCGAGTTCAGTTCAATTGCACTGATGACAGTTGAAGAATAAAGAAACAAATGGGTTAGAAATTAAAAATAAATATATTTTACTTAGAAATTCTTCGCATCCAAAAATCAAAAGAAGAGGCATGCAAAATATATGTGTGAATGCTCCTAAATTTTGCGTGTGTGATTGTGTGTGTATGTGTCTGTGTGAGTGCGTGCGTCAGTGCGCGCGCGCGTATGTGTATGTGTGTGTGCGTGGGTGTGTTTTGTGTGCGTGTGTGCGTGTGCGTGCGTGTGCACGTGCGTGCGTGTGCACGTGCGTGCGTGCGCGCGTGCGTGCGCGTGCGTGTGTGCGTGCGTGTGCGTGTGTGCGTGCGTGTGTGTGTGTGTGCGTGCGTGCGCGCGTGTGTGCGCGTGCGCGTGTGCGTGTGTGTGTGTGCGCGCGCGCGCATGCATGCATGCATGCATGCATGCGACTCCGCGCGCGCATGGAGACGTATGTCACGTCCATGATTACACCCGAAATAATCCAGTACACTACTCTAATTCATTATTACACTCTTCTTCCAAGGCTTTCCTCCAGCCGACCCTTTACGACCCCATTAAATGCATATTCCACCACATACTTAGACACCAACACACTCGCGGGCTCCTCTGGTCTGAGGTCAGTAGAACGCGAGGCTCTCCGCGACAAGACATACATGAGAGACAAGGGACAAACAACCATGCCCAAGGCGGGTTGTTTGTCCCGAACCTGCGAACCTTCGGAACGAAGGGCTGAGCCTGTACACGCTCTTAGCCATCCAGGACGGCTTCATTATTACATCCTACTAAAATTACCACCACTGTGCAAAATATTATATTAAAATTTTGAATTAGAAAATTCTTATTTTTTTATCAGATATTGTGTGCGACCTCGAGAAAAATTCAAAATATCTATATTATTATTACTTTCCAATGCAAGCAGAAAGTGACCGAAAACTATGCAGCATCCGGCCAAGTGACAGGTGTTCAGGGTCTCATTGGATACCTCGGAATTCGGGAAAATTCAAAAATAAATTTCGATTTTGATAGAAGAATACAAATATGTGTTCCTGTATTTTACATCTAGTAATCTTAAGCCGAGGGTACCGACTGTATTCTCATATTCAGTGTATTACTACTAACGATACAGCGAGGCTCCATGGAAGAGGCCTGCTACCACTGAATATTTCTAATTTACGTGACGCGTTATGGAACAGCAACTTTCCTGATATTTTTGGTATTTAACTAACTTTGGTATTAAAATTTGATGTGTAACCGAAGATATACTGTATTATACTGTACTGCAGTATTCGTTTACAATGCTATACGATTATTTAATATAATAAAACAAAAAAATAAATATAATCGTATAGCATTGTAAGAAATTAAATATTTAAACAAAAAACATTAACGAATACTGCAGTACAGTATAATACAGTATATCTTCAGTTACACATCAAATTTTAATACCAAAGTTAGTTAAATACCAAAAATATCAGGAAAGTTGCTGTTCCATAACGCGTCACGTAAATTGAGCATTGTACGCGCTTCTTTTTGCAAAATCATTTTCTGTGGTTTTGTTTAGCAGCATTTGTTTGCTGCTTCATTCCAGTACTTACTAGTGTGTACATAGTACACGCGAGTAGCATTACATTATTTTTTGCCTTCAGAAAGTAAATTCTGATTAGCCATAAAAAATACAGATTATTGGGAATTTATATTTAGTCAATAAAACAATGAACTAATTATGACTTTTCTTCACATGAGCACCAGCAAAACCGGTTCTGAGCACATAGTTTAGTAAATGAGATTTGCCACCACAAGAAGTAAGATATTACTTGCAATTGTTCTTAGAGTTGGCACCTTCATTTTGTCATAACGATAACTAATTTGTAAGAAATATAATAATAAAATACAAAATGAACAAAATAAATCATTTCTAAGTTTTTGAAACTTGATAAATTACGTCATTTAGTTTTAATTTTATATGTCATTTAACAAATCTTTAACAAACATTTTCCCTTTTTAAGGATGTTAATCATAAATAAAATGATTTGAGTGTTATATATTGTGACGTCATGGATACTCACAGCGACCACAGACACAGAGCTTTCGTATAACAATATATTTATTAACAAAGAAAACAAAACAAATATATACACTTAATATCCTACTTACACCCTAGCTCTGATAGACCTACTATCCCCTGATCGCGGGAGCGATCCAAACCCGATTGAAGATGATTTGATTGTGGCATTCGCCACTCCTACGTTTGAAGTGCGCACAAAGCCTAGCTTCCGTGACCGGATGTCACGCTGGGACACAAAGTCCGTTCTGGCGCACCAACGGCTGGTTTGCCTCGATCGCAGGAGCGATCTTATCCGATTGAGAATCGGCGCGAATCGTGGCACTCAACCACTCTTCACCTCGGAGCACGCACACAGCATCGCTCCCCCGTGACCGCAGTCACCCAAGGACATAAAGTCCGCAGGCTTCGTCAACTAGTGACTCGAGCCTCGCGAGCCGGGCTCGCATATGCACCGTCGTGGCGCCAAGTTTTGTGCACACGCACGAGGTTCTCCCGCTGTCTCCAGAACCCACCCACTGGCTCTGTACACTCTGTTATATAGGCGAGGCCCACGTGACCTACTACGTCACGCCACCCCCTCGCTTGTTATAACAGTGAAAAGTTTCTATAGGCCGGATACTCCCAAAGCATTGTGTCTCCCGTTTCCGCGTTCTTCCCTTTACGGAAAAACCCTTCTTCCTGTGGCGAGGCTAATCCTCTACCAAGCGTCCCCAAATAGATGTCATGAGGCACGCTGGCTAATACGTCACAATATTATTGTTGCAAAATTGCACTCATTTCCCATAAGTCATTACAGATGTAACGACAATGTCCACCCCTTGAGTCGGAAATAAAAAATGATCAAACGTTTCGATTTCAGGTGGGAGATTTTCACCCATACCCATCTCCATCCCCCAGCCCTTACCTCGTGCCCAGATGCTTCCACCTCGAAATAAGTATGGCGCTTCGACTCAGGTTTCGACTTAAGTGTGGAGCTAGTGTCGAAAATCCTCAATAGTCGAAATTCAAACTCTCGAACCAAAATGTCAGCGACGCTGCATATGCAAGGGTAATGCTGTCACTGAACCATCGCAGCCGCTTCTTCATTCCCGGATCCGCCGCTAACAAGATAGAGGAAAGAATGGTATTTAGCGGCGATCGTAGAGAAACAACAAGAAAATGAGGAAACCTTTCCCTCTTTCTTCCAGTAGTGTCCTCCAAGATAGTATTAATCGTATATATTTTCCGCCCAGTGCTTGGGACGTGCTACCCACTGCGTAGGGCCGGCTTAGAGAAGAGACGGGGTGGGGGACTGGGCGAGCTGCTCAGGGTTCCGCGCAGAGCCTGTTTCAGCTCCCACCGGCGCCAGGGTCGCTTTAAATTCGTTTTAACCGTTTTAAAGTATGAAAGGCGAGGAAGAACTCGATGAAATATCTTAATTACGTTGTAGTATATGGTCTCTCCGAGCGTGGGAGTTGGTATAGAGATAAACGATAACCACGGAATGTACTACGACGATGGAAATGTTTCATTTTCTTATGAGGATGCTTAGGTGTAAGGATGCTAGAAAACAGCAAGACACAGTGTTCACAGACAGAGACATCTGAATTTACAAAACCATTGTTTTTCCTCTGGCTGTGAAAAATTATAGAAATGAGAGTTATCATTACGATTTTATGAACTCTTCATTTAACTCA